ATTTTATTAATTTTATTTTAAAGTTAATTTAAAGTTAATAATATAAGAACATTTCATAAAGTGATTAAGATCAACAAATTCTAACCATTTTCATGTGACCAACCTCCTAACTTCCCCAGCTTCTGTGAGGTGCCTTAATATCATTTTATTTCAAAGGCAGAGCTGAAAGCTACATAATATAAATGTAGATTACAGCTATGCAAATTATACATTGCACCAGTAGCGTTAGCAGGTGCAGTACTGAAAGCTGATTTACATCAAGTTATTCCCACTTTAACAGTATCTTAACCTAGCAGGTCTGTGCCAACAGATTCCATGGCAAATAAGGTAAGAAATGTATTCACACATACTGTCTAGCCTCACAAAATGAGAGAGGGATTTTGATTGTGACAATAAATCAGCTACTATTCAAGCTGTCAGGCAGTGACGGCCTGGTAACGTGTTTGGTAGGATGCTACGCACCTAGTGAAGTAAGCGTTGCTTATGCAGCCCGTGAAGTTGGCTTGCTGCGTTCTGAGGGGAGAGCCACCAAAATAAAACTTCTTGATGCTGTCTGGGCTTTTCCCTGCTCTGTCCTTTGCTGGGTTCTTCTTACTTTGTTTCTTGTTGTCAACAGTCAGCTCATATCTACAAAGGCAGAGCATCCATTTTATAGTCTGGTTTCAGAAATGTCAATGCCAATGGTTATACAGCATATTACATGCACCCAAAATGCTCCGCTCAGTGTATACATCACTGAATGGTAGTGCTCAAAGGCATGAGAAGACCTCCTCGTTTCCAGCTGTGCAGCAAGCAGCAGTGCAATTAACCCACTGGCAAAGTTGAGTCCAGAGGCCCACGAATTTCATAATATCCTGGAATTAATTGTGAAGTCGAAAAAAAATACAATCCACTCAGTGAAGAATAGATAAACTAAAGAATTGCTAATAAATGGATGGAGCCACCATTTGGGTAAAATAAGAACTAAGCACATGCTAATCCTTCTTTCTGCCCCTATCCCTTTTTCCTTCTCATTCATTACAGTACATTGATGTTTGAGCTTATACAATGTTCTTTACCTAATCTCGTTTTTTGAGATTTGCAACACATTAATTGCTGCAGAAGTCAGGAAGGATTCTACTGCTTTAATAAGAAACTGGATATAACTAAAGCATCAGACATTGATTTTGTTTGGAAGATTCAGAATTCAAAACACTTAGGGAAACACGACAGTCCCCAACACTATTCCAAGGCACCTTTTCGCACCTTCAGCTTTTCAAACTATGTTTCTTGGATGTCAGAAGTCATAGGTACGAACCTCCATTTCCATTAGAAAACTGAGAATGACCTGGTTGTATCTGCATTGGCAAGATTCTTGAAGAAAGATGCTTTGATTGTTCGATCTTCTAAGAACATTTTAAACATAGAAAACAGCAGTAAAACATACCAATAAAACGATACTTTCAAGTTTTTAAGCAGCACATCGAGACTTATTCCTTACTGCTGTATTTAGTCTTACATTTATGTCTGTCAGTGCTAAAAATATTTTGAACATGTTCCACTGTATATATTCCAAATGAATTTTTTTTGTGAAGATGCCTCAATTACTTTAGGGTCAATTTGGGATTGCTCTAACAAATCAGAACAATGACTCCTGCTGTTTTTTCCTGCTGAAAAATGAATCTCGTGCTAGTCTTAAATTATATTAAATTGCTTTCATACCTGAGGACAAAAAAGTAATAAGCTTTTAGAAAAGATATTATTTTAGTTTTACTAAAAATTTCCAGCATCTCATGCTCAGGCCAAGCTGGTCAGTTTTCAATCACATAGATTTTTGGTTTTGTGTTTTTTTTAACTGAATTGATCAGTTAAAAATATCTCTTAAAAAACCCCACTTAAACATCACTTTGAAAGTGAATATTAAATGATAACATGCTTTACAAGAAATATTTATATTCTAAAGGTAGGGGATAAAAGATGCTGGATGGCTTTACCTTTCTGGGGTGACAGATGTAATGATGAAGTGGGTTTTTCCATCGTTGTAATTTCGGTCTGGTGATTGAATTTTGGTTCCGCTTGCATTTAGAACAACAGCACCTCTGTCCATAGAGATCGATAATACATCTGACTGAAATACAGACAAAAAATCTTCATAAGCAAGTGTAACACAGAAAATTTAACAGTTCTGTGCATTTTCCTGTTGTATTTATTTTCATT